GGAACAACATTGTACCGTAACCATACTCTTATTTTTGAGAGTGTTTGTATATACAGTATGTTCTTGGCAACAAATAAGCATCTGGTGGCCCTGCTGAGATATGAATGCACTCCAGACCAGAAGGTTGCAAGTTCAAATCCTGAGAGCATTAATGTCAACTGTCCCTGAGCTACCAGTTGCCCCTACACTTTGAATTTCTGGCTGTTCTGCACTATCCACCTCATTTACTGCTCCTGCTCAACCTGCTTGCTTTTTGCCTCTCTTTCAGAAAGAGTGACAGGCGTTTTGCTGAGTGATGACATTGACATCTAATCGGAGTTGTAGGGGTGGGGTCAAGTGAGAGGTCCACTTCTTGCAGTGCCTGCTACTGCCTATCGCAGTATAGTGGATTGTTTATTTTTGTCATACAAAATGTCTCAGTAAATTATTTATTTTTCAATACTGCATAGCGCAAGTGATCCGTGGTTATGGAAACTAATGTCAGACATACAGCTTGAAATTGTATTCATATATATATATATATATATATATATATATATATATATATATATATATATATTGAACAAAAATATGAACGCAACATGCAACAATTTCAAAGATTTTGCTGAGCTACAGTTCATATAAGGAAATCAGTCAATTTAAATAAATTCATTAGGCCCTAATCTATGGATTTCACATGACTGGGCAGGGGCGCAGCCATTGGTGGGCTTGGGAGGGCATAGGTCCACCCACTTGGGAGCCAGGCCGACCCACTGGGGAGCCAGGCCCAGCCAATCTGAATGAGTCTTTCCACACAAAAGGGCTGACGATCCCACAGGTAATGAAGCCAGATGTGGAGGTCCTGGGCTGGCATGGTTACACGTGGTCTGCGGTTGTGAAACTGGTTGGACGTACTGCCAAATTCTCTAAAACGACATTGGAGTCGGCTAATGGTAGAGAAATGAACATAAAATTCTGGTGGACATCCCTGCAGTCAGCATGCCAATTGCACGCTCCCTCAAAACTTGAGACATCTGTGGCATTGTGTTGTGGCCTTTTATTGTCCCCAGCACAAGGTGCACCTGTGTAATGATCATGCTGTTTAATCAGCTTCTTGATATGTCAAACCTGTCAGGTGGATGAATTATCTTGGCAAAGGAGAAATTCTCACTATCAGGAATGTAAACAAATTTGTGCACAACATTTTAGAGAAATACGCTTTTTGTGCGTATCAGAAATGTCTGGCCTCTTTTATTTCAGCTCATTAAACATGGGACCAACACTTTACATGTTGCGTTTATATTTCTGTTCATTGTATATATATATATAAATATTTTTATTTATTTTTACCATCAAAAGGTTTGGGGCTGGACCAAAAACATCAGTGGCTGAAGCCCTGGAAGCTCAGGCCTAATGACAGCACAATCAGTGCACCTGGGTTTCCTTTCCTTTGGTGTATCCAGAGGTAAATTATTAAAGGGAGGATAAAAGCGTGACTGGTGGGGAAACGAGACAGTCAGACAGACAAACAGACAGACAGATGACAGTGGCTGAGGCAGACAGGCTGGGAATCCTGCCCCCCCCCCAACGGCCCCCCGCCGTGTGGTGGGCTCTCACACCCGGCCTCCTCGGACGGCCGCTTGAAGTGCAAATCTGTGTTCCAAGAACTTCCAACTTCTTCCTGGTGTCTGTCAGCATCTTTTCCTCTTGTCCGCAGAGCGGGCGATGGGAAGCCTCCCAAATGGCACCCTATTCCCTGTATAGAGCACTACTTTTGGCGCATAGGATTTTGGAATAGGGTGCCATTTGGGACACAACCATGGAGTTGGTGGCCCTCGCCCAGCCGCCTCAACCCTGTACCGCCCCAGTAACGGGATCATTGACAGGCCAGTGACACTGCCCAAACAGACAATGGAAACCTATTGATTTTTCACTCTTTTTTTTTTTTTTTTTGTACAGGAAGCGGTGGACAGTGGTCCCTGGGTTGGCACTTCAGAACAACCAGCCAGAACAGAAAGAGAGAGAAGGACGTGATCAATGGATTTGAACTCTGGATCTCAACTGCTGCTACAGACAATAAGGTGGGTGAAAAAAGCCAGGCCGACAGACAAGTGCCATCAGTCAATCACCCAGTTTCTCATGGTGCAGTGATAGGCTGGTTCTCAAATGACACCCTATTCCTTACATCCATAGGGCTCCGGCTCTGGTCAAAGGTAGTGCACTATATAGGTAATAGGGTCCCACTGGGCACACACTGGTTGAATCAACTTTGTTTCCACGTCATTTTAATGAAATTACATTGAACCAACATGGAATAGACGTTGAATTGACAACTGTGCTCAGTGGGGTGCCATTTGCGATGTAGACGTAGTCTACTGGTCCACCTGAAACACCTTAACACACACTAACCTTCTCGGAGTGGGTGGGAGCTTCCCTTTAGATCCCCTACTGCAGTCTCACACAGTATCACATACACTCCTAATGTGCCAGAGGGTTTTTTTAATTACCTCCTAAGGCTCTCCTATTAAAATTAAACAACTTGTCTAGTTGCTTATACTTTCTGGAGAGACTAATATTAACAAATAAAATACAGTGATGATTCAAGGCAAATGCTGTTGCTAGTCTCTCATTTTACAATGCTAACTCATTACTATTCACTGGTTCTGGTTAAATGCAGCTAGCCCCTCTCTACTCCAGGTGGTATAGGGGAATCAGACGTTTATATACAGTTTTAATAGAGTATTAATCTCCAGAGAGGGGTGTCCTTGATTCTCAGGCCCTAATAATAACCATGCTCTGGTCTACTACTAGCTACCACTGGACCATTATGGCAGATGGCCAGTGTGGTTCCTACCATGTAACACATTTCTTTATGTCTCTCTCTCGCTCTCTCTCCTGGCTGCCAGTGAAATAATAAAACCCCACTCCTGGTCATGGCTGGCTCAATCTCATTATAATCTCTCTCTGGTTTTTATTCATGGTGCCCCTTGGGATGCTGTCTGCCCGCGACGTGGCTCCCAACCTCCGCAGAGAACATCTTTTGAAACAGCCAGGAGACCTAATGAAGTCACAGAGTGGCACAATTATTTCCCTGAGAAGGAGAATTAATGTACTTGAGAATCCCCTCCGGAGGAACATGATGACAATTGGTTTGTACAGCTTTGATCATCCTGTTTTAAATACGGACCAGGATAAACTGCAGGGTTGGCCCCCTGTGCCATGGGTTGGTTTCTAGCAGACGTCGGGTGCGTCTCAACTGGCACCTTATTCCCTATATATAGTGCACTACTTTTTCACTGGTCAAATTTAATAGGAACTCTATGGTCACACCAACCAAACGTTATACTCACAAAAGCTAAAAACAAAAGGCGAGAATGGCAGGTTATATAAAATCAGTGTATATTTATTTTGTACAGCCACAACATTATAGACCGAGTTAGCAGGATTTGTTAGGGGTTGAGAAACTAATCATTGTAAAAAGTAAAAAGCATGAATAATTGTAAATAGTACATTTTAAAAAGGCCAATTTAACTATTTTATTTCAGCTAGTTCTTGCTATATTTACTACAGAAAGCTGAACGGATACATGGTATATATAGCCTTCTTCCTTTTAATCATCCAAAATGAAGTATGGATGTTAAACCAACCAGACATTATTACAGTACATTCACATCTCTCAGACATCCTCTAGTGTTGTCTAGATGAATAAAACATGTGTATTTTACTTAGCATAATACAATATCTAACTGGAAGTTTCAGCACCATGGAAATGTGATTTACATTCTAACTTGATTTGGATTAAAAGGTTCCTAGTCCTTTCATTGGACTGTAAAATCAATTTCAGAAGGGATAGGTAAGTTATCCATAATAATATTAGAAATAGTGCTTGGCGGTGTTGAATCATCAAAGAACAGTACAAAACAATGTGCTTCATTAACTAGGACTAATAAATGCCTTAAAGCAATAATTCACCACTATCTCAGCCTTTCTTCATATTTTGTCTTACCTCTAAATGTTATGGAAAGAAACTAGCTTCAATCCACTGCTTCTGCATGTTTATTTGGCAAGGTTAGCAAATTGGCAAAGGTTGATAGCCAAACCAACAAACAAAGCAGTGGATTGAAGCAACTCCTCCTCCATAAACCACTTTTGAGATAAATGTGTATATTGCATGATATTGATGAGCTACTCAGCTTACACTCTACAAGAATCCAGTGACCCAACGTTCAAACTTGTTGAATATTTCAGTAAATAAACTATAATATTGGTCTTAGAGATAAATCACAAGAAAACATGTTTTCTTTGCTTGATTAACATACAATGAGAACATATCGCAATTACAATTACGTCAGAACAAGACAAATAGGAAATAGTTAACATGAAAGTTAGGGAGGAAGCAGATATTGTGTCCATTCATACAGTATTGGCAGTTCTAATTTGTGATATGAATGATTGACCCTGTATTCTGATTATGGCTCCTATAGGCTACAGTTAAAGTAATGGACAAAGCATTTATCATTTACAAAATGCTGAGGTGTCAGTTGTCTCATTTGGTAATGGGTTCAAAGTTCTGACTGACTGCTAAACAGTGCAAAGAAGGAAGCAAGAAGACACATTGTTGCAAGATGGCAAGATTATCTGCAGGTAAAACTTCACCTAACCATAGTAGAGTAGAAGAGGTTACAGACTGCAAATATTAGTTTAGAAAAGTTGAGATACAAGGTTCTGAACTAACCACCGTTCTAGCTTCAGCAATTGTTGGCAAAGTACAATTATTTGTTTCTGTACATATAAGTAACAAGATCCATCATCTACACTACAGTATAGAGAAATGTCTTATAAAATAGAGGGAAGGGCTAGTATGTGCGTATTAAGAAAAACATATATAGCTTTATAATATTTGTATCTATCTATCTATCTATCTTTATATCTATCTATATTTATATGTATCTAACCATATTTACATGTGCAGGATAAAGATCTAAAGGGATACAGTGAAAAAGTGTAAACAACTCTCTAGCTCAGGATGCCACTGGAAGAAGCTCTGGAAAGGGCGTGGCCGTGTGCTGCTCCAGGCTTGGGTGCTCATTGGACGAGGGGTGTGCATGGTGCAAGGGATGCTCATCATGGAGCTCAAGGTGCTTGTGGGTTTTGGGTTGCTCATTGGGCAAGGTGGGCCCATGGGGCAAGGGGGGCTCCTGCTGGGGCAAGGGGTGATCATGAGGAGAGGGGTGTTCCAAGCAGGGGTGCTCATGTTGCTTCTGGGGCGTGGGGTGCTCATTGGACGTTGGGTGCTCCCGACAGGGGTGCTGCTGGGGGGGCAAGGAGGGCGTCTCTTTGTGTAGTCCCAGGACCTCCACCATGCCAGCTCCTGTGCGAGGGACACTGGTGTGCATGAGGTGCCTTTGTAAGTGCCTGAGCCAATCCTCCTGGATGGACAGAGGACCCTGGAAGACAAGGTCACAGAATCTGCATAGGAGAGAGAGAGTAAAGTTAGGTTAGGTTAGGTTATGTTAGGCTAGGCTAGGCTAGGTTAGGTTTGCATACATATGGATACTTTTTAGCATCTGAGCTGGCAATCCTTTTCCTGTACCGGTGTACAATATATTTTAGAACCGATGCATGACCATTTCACAATATTAAAGGGGCAATCCGTAATTTCTTTGTGCCTTGTGGCCACAGAGTGAAATGCACAACAAATCAAGATGCCAACAAAAACAGGGAGGGGACAGAGAAGCTTGTTGTGGTCCTATATACCTGCAGGTGAGTCTGTACATCTCCTCAACAGCACATGGGAGAGCTGAGAACAGTGTGTTCTTTGGTCCAGCCCTCAACCTAGGCTTCTTCAGTATACAGGAATAGGCTGAAAGACACAGACCATCTCATTACAGGCCAAGTCAGTACAGACCATCTCATTACAGGCCAAGTCAGTACAGACCAACTCATTACATACCAACTTAGTACAGACAACTCCATGCAACATAACAGACTGATTGACACCAGGACAGAGAGAGTCACAGGCTGTGTCCCAATGGGGGCCCTGGTCAAAAGTAGTGCATTATACAGTACATTTGGAAAGTATTCAGACCCCTTGACTTTTTCCACATTTTGTTACGTTACAGCCTTATTCTAAAACGTTTATTTTTAATTTTTATGCTCCTCATCAATCTATACACAATACCCCATAATGACAAAGCGAAAACAGGTTTTTATACATTTTTGCAAAACATAAATAACTTTTTTACATAAATATTCAGACCCTTTGCTATGAGACTCGAAATTGAGCTCAGGTGCATCCTGTTTCCATTGATCATCCTTGAGATGATTCTACAACTTGATTGGAGTACACCTGTGGTAAATTCAATTGTTTGGAGATGATTTGGAAAGGCACACACCTGTCTATATAAGGTCCCACTGTTGACAGTGCATGTCAGAGCAAAAACCAAGCCATGAGGTCGAAGGAATTGTCCGTAGAGCTCAGAGACAGGATTGTGTTGAGGCACAGATCTGGGGAAGGGTACCAAAAAATGCCTGCAGCATTGAAGGTCCCCAAGAACACAGTGGCCTCCATCATTCTTAAATGGAAGAAGTTTGGAACCACCAAGACTCTTCCTAGAGCTGGCCGCCCGGCCAAACTGAGCAATCGGGGGAGAAGGCCCTTGGTCAGGGAGGTGACCAAGAATCCGATGGTCACTCTGACAGAGCTCCAGAGTTCCTCTGTGGAGATGGGAGAACCATCCAGAAGGACAACCATCTCTGCAGCACTCCACCAATCAGGCCTTTATGGTAGAGTGGCCAGACGGAAGCTACTCCTCAGTAAAAGGCACATGACATCCCGCTTGGAGTTTGTCAAAAGGCACCTAAAGGACTCTTAGACCATGAGAAACAAGATTATCTGGTCTGATGAAACCAAGATTGAACTCTTTGGTCTGAATGCCAAGCATCACATCTGGAGGAAACCTGGCACCATCCCTACGGTGAAGCATGGTGGTGGCAGAATCATGCTGTGGGGATGTTTTTCAGCTGCAGGGACTGGGAGACTAGTCAGGATCGAGGGAAAGATGAACGGAGCAAAGTACAGAGAGATCCTTGATGAAAACCTGCTCCAGAGCGCTCAGGACCTCAGACTGGGGCAAAAGTTCACCTTACAATAGGACAACGACCCTAAGCACACAGCCAAGACAGCGCAGGAATGGCTTCGGGACAAGTCTCTGAATGTCCTTGATTGGCCCAGCCAGAGCCCGGACTTGAACCCGATCGAACATCTCTGGAGAGACCTGAAAATAGATGTGCAGCAATGCTCCCAATCCAACCTGACAGAGCTTGAGAGGAGAATGGGAGAAACTCCTCAAATACAGGTGTGCCAAGCTTGTAGCGTCATACCCAAGAAGACTCAAGGCTGTAATCGCTGCCAAAGGTGCTTCAACAAAGTACTGAGTAAAGGGTCTGAATACTTATGTAAATGTGAAATTTCTAAAAAACTGTTTTTGTTTTGTCATCATGGGTATTGTGTGTAAATTGATGAGGGAAAAAAACTATTTCATCCATTTTAGAATAAGGCTGTAACGTAACAAAATGTGGAAAATGTCAAGGGGTCTGAATATTTTCCGAATGCACTGTATAGGGAATAGGGCACCATTTGGGACACAATGTTCTGTACATGTTCTACAAGGTACATCCAACACTGTAATTTCAGAAAGGTGCCTTTATGTTCTTGACTTTTGTGACCAGGCTTACGGAACTTACTTGTTCCTTCTAACATGGCAACCCTCTTCCTGCGTGCGTAAGCGCGACGATGATTGGACAGGCTAACAGCACTGGGAAATGTTGTGTTACAGTGAATGCAAATCTTCTTATTAGATTCATTTCTCTCTGGAAAGTGAGAGAAACATTGAAAGAGAGAAAAATCTAAAGAAAGCAAAGCACACAGAAGTTCAGTTCAAAACTTTAAATATGTTCCAGAAGCTCATTGACAACACTTTTCTTGCAAGGAGAACGTCTTTGAACAAGTGTCAAGAGTGTAGCATCTAATCAAAATGCCTCCGGATAACCATGCTCTGTTTGTTTCTAACTTCATTAACAGTTATCTTCCATTAGAGACACTTTGTTTGGATGCTGCCCACTTTTAAAAATAGTTCAACTTCTACACACATTACATCTAAATTAATTGCTGCTTGGGTTTCAGGGTCTTTGAGAAATAAAATCTGGAGGTGAGTTGAGGTGACTGTAAGGGAAGAATCTGAAGAAATATAAGAAATATGACTACAGAGTACATAGATGAACATGAAGTAAAAGTGCTATTCCCTGAGTGCCATCACCTCTCCCTCCATCTGTTTCATATTGTAAAGATCTGTTTTGCACTCAGCAGTTGGAGACGTGTTGTTGAGAGTAATGTTTATCACAATCTAAGGACTCCAGGGTGCCTATTTTCACCTGTAGCAGAAGATTCACGCAGGGTTCGGAACAATTTGGGGTTTTAAAATGTGATTTAGGCTATGACAAGAAATTCATACTGTGCTGATTGTGTCAATATTGCACATGAATTACAATGGTTTGGCATGGCACTGCAGGCTACATCTAGAGCATGTTAAATCGTAAAAGCGTTAGATTATGAAAGGTCTCTTCAAACACCTGTTAAAACAGATTTGATTGGATAACAAGCCCACACCTAGTTTCTATGCAGGCTGTCCTGAAGCTACTGGCAGTTGTGTGAAAACAATAGCGACAGCTTCCCATTCATTTCACACCTAATAGGTGAAAAAACATCTGCTACATAGGTGTTTTTTAACCATGACAAGCTACTAAAGGTTCTTTAAATGACCTGTAAATTGTTTGCAACAATTTGTGTTAAATCTCCATTTAACATAACACTGATTACAGCAATATGGTGTAGAAGCATTAGTTAGATGGTTAAAACTGAATGCGTGAGTCGTTCTATTTTGCCTTTAAGGTTTCAGCTTTCAGCTATACCGTAAAAAGTAACTATGACATACAACACTGTCAGCCACAGAAAGGGCAATCACTAGAATTCAGACAGACAACTAAAAAAATCCCTATCTGATTTAAACTCTTTATGAATCATTCTCCATAACGGGAACTCTTATTTGGACAGACATTAAACAAAGGTGTGTAAACACAGCTGATGTGCTTCCAGAGCCACATCAAAAGGACGTGACAGTTTTTTTTATTTCAATTTCAAAGCCCCTTTGGTGACAATCATTATTTTTGTGTGCGTTACAATAATTACATTGACTGTGAACTTTTCTCTTTTTATGTTTATTTTTTTTATCCCACTCCATTTGATTGAAATGTTGTGATTTAACATGAGCTTCTGTAAACAATGAATCGCTGTATAGTTAGTAAAACATACAACACAGCTATGGAACAAGACAAGTTTGTGTTTAATTAAAGCAAGCTGATACTGTAATTGGTGCACAAGTCACATATTATCTTAATCTGTATCATTGCACTCTATAAAACTATTACAAAGAACACCTAAAAGAATCACACTTATCTGCAAAGGACTAAACTGATCAATCTGAAAAGAACAGACCGCCGACTCAGTTTAGCTAATAACGCTGTGTGTCACTTCTATCCATCATCTATCTGCCTTAACTGGCTTTTTGTCTTCTTTGATTCTACATCAGTTGAAACAGACTGATCATATGTCATATATGTTTTGCCATCACAAAGGGGGCCTTGTTGCGCTACAATAATCATTACCATCAAAAATATATAATTGTTGGGTTGGGGGTTGCTAAAGATACATGTAAAAAGTCCTTTTCAACTTTACCATGATGTCACCAATTTTGAAATTGTACAATCTCAACCTCTTTTTCAGTTCTGAAAGTGCTCCAAAATGCTGATATTCTGATGTGTATATTAATGATTTGTGAGGCTGCTTACCATGGGCCCAGTGTGTTTCCAGGTTGCTGGCCTGTTGGTTCTGTCTCTCCTCAACCCTCTCTTTGGTCACAGTAAAGTGCTTCCTATCTGCATCATCCTTGTCCAACTTCCTCTTCCTCAGCAGCTCGCCTAAAGTGCTCCGAGAAGGTTCCCTGATACCTCGTATCTGTAATAATAATAATAATACATTTTATTTGCACCTTTCAAGATATCCAAAGAGACTTACAGAGTAAAATAAAATAAAAATATTAAATGTAAACAAATCATCGTATTTGTCACATGCGGCGAATACAACTGGTGTAGACATTACCGTGAAATGCTTGCTTACGAGCCCTTCCCAACAATAAAGAGTTAAACATAAACAAAAAATTATAGAAACTACATAACCAAAACTAAAAGTTAATCACACAAAAGAGCATAGCATCAATACAGCACAACAACGGTACCACTATGCTCTTCCTCTCAGGAAAGAACTCCTCTCTCTCAACTCCCTCCTGCCTGGGTGTAGTTGCACTGGGCCCCCATGGAGTGGGAATGCCATTCTGGCCCAGCTGGCAGCCATGTTGGATCTTCACTGGGATCCCTGTGGGTGTTAGGAAGAGCCCGTCGCTGCCAATGAACTTCTGGGAGATGATTGGTCGAGAGAGGAACTGCTTCCTGTTCAGTTTTCAAATAAAACACAACAATGATATAGCCAGAGAGATACATGAAAAAGTACAATAACATAAAAGTAGACTAAATGAAAAATCTATACAAATTCTATTCGGAAAGTATTCAGACCCCTTGACTTTTTCCACATTTTCTTACATTTCAGCCTTATTCTAAAATGGATTGTTTAAAAAAAATCCTTATCAATCTAAACACAATAGCCCATAATGACAAAGGAAAAACACGTTTTTAGAAATATTTACAAGTTTATATGAAATACAATTAAAACACGGAAATATCACATTTACATAAGTATTCAGACCCTTTACTCTGTACTTTGTTGAAGCACATTTGGCAACGATTACAGCCTCGAGTCTTCTTGGGTATGACAGTACAAGCTTGGCACACCTGTATTTGGGGAG